CAGGCAAGTCAGAAGTCTTCTAACCACACGGCGGGGTTGGTGTCCCTGGAGTATTTGACGATGTTCGGTGGCACGCGGAAATGCACCAGGAACGGTGTCTGTCGAAACCTTTTCACGAACGCCTGTGGGCCGCAGGCATCCGGGCTTGGGCTGCGTTGAGCATCTTGGATCCTAGGGTGTCGGCCATGGTTGTTCGGATCGCTATCACCGTAGTGCAACTGATCCTTGTCCGCTGAGTCTGGCCCGGGGCGTCTAGCACCTCGAGTCAGGCGAGCATTATGGTTCCCGACATAGCAGCTGCGTGCTGGGGAAGGCGCCCGTCTGCGCACCGCACCGCCATCGCTGGGCTGGAGCATGCTCGGTGCGTGGTACCCCTCGAGGGCGCCACGCGCTGAGGAGATATGTACGAGGCTGGCCTTGGGATGCTGCTTCTCCGCAGAGCTTTGAGCCTGCTGTATCGCTATGGTTTCTAGCAGGTCTCGTAGCACTTGATGGACGCGCTTTCCCTCATTGGTCGAGGGTTTAGGGGCCGTCCGCATGATCATGGCAGCTGCCGCGACATTCTGGCTAGCTCGAGGGAAGATGAGCGTCTCCCTCTTGCCTTGCTAGATTTGATCATACACATGGCACGCCCATGCTCCCTTGGCATCGAGGTGTTGCAGGGTAGGGCATCCGTCGTCGCAGCACTCGTTGGCCTGATCGGCTTCACGGGCCCTGGCTTGTTCTAGGCGTTCCTGATCATACCCTACCTGTTCTCTGGGGGTGCGTAGAATTACATAGACGTCGTCCTCTGCGCCTCTCGCCGGCACTACCCCATCCTCCGGGAGGTGCAACATGTTGCATTCCCTCAGCAGATGGCAACTCCCTTCAGAATTGGACTAAGACTCCGTACCCTCGAGGGTCACCAGCAAGAGATCGTAGATGGACTTCGGATCCTGCTCATCATCCCCACAAACCCGGAGGATGCTGGCATCATCGTATGGACATTGCACTTGGCCAGCTCTTGCTCGAAGAGTGCGATCGCATCCCTCATTTCGGAGGGTAGTGTGGTGTTGGGGTTCTAGAATTTGGCCTCTAGCGGTAGGGACCCGCTCCCGAAGAGCTGGACGAAAGCGTTCGCCAACACGTAGAAAATGCGTCGACTTAGCTCTGGCTCGGGATTCGTCCTGAGGTAGGCGTCGATCCTGCATGCTAGCACATCGGAGTCGATGATCGTGGGACCGGCGTGGGCCGGTCTATGATCAAGCGTCGAGATGTGCGGTGGATCCGCATTCTCTTCGCTGAGCCGCACCTGACCTAGGTGGTCGGCTATGAAGTCCAAGTCCCCGAAGCATAGAGCTTGACCGGGGATAAGACCGTCAACGGGAGCTAGTCCGTCGATGTCGGCGAACTCGAGGCTTCCGAAGCGGATGCGGCTGCTGAGGGCCGCGCCAAGAGCAAGTCTGATGTAGGTGTAGGGAGCCATCTCTTCCTTCTCAACAATGAAAGTACGCGACTATCCCCTACCTGGCGCGTCAACTGTCGGTGTTTTGTAAACCGGACTAGTGAATTTATACGATTGTCGCACTGCTCTAGGAAGACGATGGTAGCATCTAAAAGACATGAGGATTTATACTGGTTCAGGCCGGAGCCCTACGTTCAGTCTCAGAGATGATCGAGTGCGTGTTCCTCGCCTGAATGCTATGAAGTTCTTACAATGGGGGTGCAAGAATGATGGAAGAGGTAGGAGAGCTAGAGCTAGAAGATGGGCTGCCCGAAGGGAAGCTTTAGGAGCCCTTCTACGGTGTAAGAATGAGTGAATGAGAGTCGGATCCCCAAGATGGGTGCCTTGGCTATCCTTATATAGAGTTCGGGGCCAGGGCGTGTACAAAAAAGAAGGTTCTCCCGACCAAAGGGTCGTGAGCCCGAGGGAGGACCTAGCTAACTTGGCTTGCAAGCTACGCCGTCTTGTGGTGCACGTCTGGGCATGGTTGTCGTCATCGTCCTGTGGCCACGTCGTGGCATGGTGTGACGTGGTGCTACTGTGCCGGTCGTAGCGGCACTGTAGGCACGATGGTGGTTCGCCAGCCGTCCTGTGCGACGTGGTCTCCGTCGTGGTCTTCGTCATCGCCTCCTAGTTTCCTGGGACATGGTACAGGAGTTGGTAGCCGCCTCCAGGTCGTCGATCACCCAGTTAGCTTGTGGAGCTGAAGGCCACAATCCCGAGCATCAGGGTCGTGGCTCCCGCCAATCTGGATGGCCTCTAAGTCAAGGCCTTCGTCGTGTATCCCATCCTATAGTGGGTAGAATCGTACATGTGTCTTGTTGGCCCGTATTTGAACGATGGGTCACCTTACTGACAGCTACCACCGTGCGGTGTTGTCTTGTTCGTGCTGCGTGGCGCAGGGATGGCGTCTGACCGGACCGAGGTGACCGCTGTCCCCTCGGTCCTTGCGGGGTTAGTGCGGCGTGCCTACTCTTGTCAGAGCGGGCACGTTTGGCTGTGCTTGACCTCTCCCCGTTTCTCCCTAGGGTCGGGACGGCAGAGAGGTCGTGAGTCTCTCGCGTGTTATGCGGCTAAGGCAGAAGGAGGGGTCGCGGCTGACCCTGGCCTTGGCGTTAAGCCTGTTGTGCTTGGCTTAGCTGGCCTCGGTCGTTCGGGCCTTTGCTAGCTGATGTATCGTGGGCCGCTCGGCTTGCTAATTAATCGGTGCCTTGAGACACCCGGGGATTATAACCCCGACAGTACTAGACGTAATGCATATCTATATAAATAGCAAAAGGTATATATCTAGAAAAATCAATAGTTTATAATTTAAAATGAATGGAGTAATAGATACTTCCTTTATCAAAACATCTCAAGTTTGACCAAATTTATATAATAAAATAATATTAACATTTATGATACCAAATAATTATCGTTATATTCTTCATTAATTATATTTTCATAGTATTTCTATTTGATGTCATAAATCTTTATATAATTCTCTGTATAATTTTGGTTAAACTCGAGCTCTTAAAAAAAATTAAACGACTTATAATTTGGAATTGAGTGAGTATTATATATGGTGGGTGGCTGTTGTGGGAAACACCATGTCCTGCATGATAAGGCCGGCTTTCGACGGTGACCATGAGGCGAGAGAACTAGCTAGAGAAGAGAGTGCAGCACTGCGCAGCCGGTGTTTTCAGGATGGGGAAGTGTTATACAATACGAAACAGCGTTGCACTGGCTGATTTTGCCTGAGGTTCAGGAAGAAGGGAATAGCAACCATCAGCATGTACAGAGTTGAATCATGCGCCGCTACTTCTGCTAGTGGTAAAAAAATGCTGCATTTGCTAGTGTTGCCTACTACTGTTATTGGATCACAACCAACTACCAGTGAAACTTTTGCACGTGTAAAGCTTGTTCAGTCAATCCTGTTCCTAAGAGGATTGGAGGGAATGAACGGGACCTACTTCCCTTAATTTTTTTTAATCCCACTCCAATAGTCTAATCCCATCGAACGGAACGAACTGATTCAATTGGAGTACATATCCTAGAAAGGATTAGACTTAGACATGCATTTGACCTGATCCAAGCGCGCGTAGGCGTAACCATGTCAATGGAAACATCCATTAGAATCAGAATTTGGAACATCTGCATCAATTTCTATCATCCATCGGGCAGCTAGCTCAGAAGAAGAATCTCATCTCATTGCTAACAAAATCCATCCCACAACGCCAAACGTACGTATATAAACAAAAGAAAGAAGAAATGAACCCACGCACGTCTACGCCATCGAATGGAAGGAACCCCCAATGCAAGCTACAGTGCCAGCAACCAGCCAGCCTACTACTGATCAACTGATGAAATACAACGGCTAGTTGACGGCGGTGCAGACGCGGCGTATCTCGCCGTCGCTGCCGGTCTTGACCCCGATCCTGCCGAGCTTGGCCATGGCGGCGACAAAGGCCTCGTTGAAGGCGGTGCTGTTGGCGGCGAAGAGGTTGACGGTGGGGCGGGATCGGCGGTCGGTGAAGAGCACCTGGTCGGACGCCAGCAAGCCCTTGTTGTAGCGGAGGTTGTTGAAGTAGGCGTTGTCGAAGACCTTGGGCGTGGTGACGTCCAGCATCGCGAACGCCGTGGGGCCGTAGTTGATGGGGCACACCAGCCGCAGCGACCGCAGGAAGTCGAGGTTCATCGGCGGGTTCCACGCCAGCCGCTGCTTGAACGTGTAGATCCGCCGCACGAACTTGTCGCAGTGCGTCACCCCGATCGTGTGCGCGCCTGCAGTGTAGTATGTATATGGCAGTGCATTGCTTGCTTGGGTTAGAACATGATGATCCATTGCCTCACAAATCACAATGCACGTCTTATTTTTCGTGTTCAAAAGCCTGTGGAATTAAAGACCGGAGCTGGCTTTTCTTTTGTCATCCATTCTTTGTAGTCTAGCAGTAGTAGTCCTACTTTGCATGGACAACATTGGGTGGTTCAGTCAAAAGTAAATGCTGCCCGTTTGGATTTTGTCGCTGGGGAAAAGGCTTCGTGTGTTCAAATCTGAATCAAGAGGTTATTTTACTACTGCTAAACACTAGGATCTGACAGGAACCAAGAACATTCAGACAAAGGTGTCCCCTGTTCTCATGTACTATAAACGTCGTTTTTTTTATCATTCCCAACACCGAATCAAAGATAAAATAAAACCAAAACATGGTAGCCTAAACAATGTAAACCCCAACGGTCAGTAAACAACACACTAAAACCCCTCAAAAGTTCACAAGGAATAATCTTTGTTTATACGAACCAATCAACCAACCTCCCTAGAAATGAGCCAGAAGCCAGCAGGGTTAACTTTTTGCAAAGCTGTAGGCCGGGCCGGCGTCTGTGATTGCGGGATTACTTTACCACTTTAAAGTGTCGGCTTCTCACCTCTCTTTCTTGCAGCACCAACACAGAGTACTCTGCACTCGTGTTTTTCTATTGTGTACGTACGTGATGGTTTTCCCAAATCACACAAGACGGGGGAAGGTTTTCTGGCTTTTTACGAAAAGCACAGAGCGGTTGCAGTATAGAACAGCGGACCACTTTGTCTTGCCGCAAACCAGAGGATAAACTCACGTGAGCCACAGAGAGCACGAGAAAGATGCTTCGTACTGCGACCAACCGACCTTGTTACAGTAGTTTTTGCTACAACCAAAAGAAAACAGTAACGAGGAGGCTCACTCCCACGGTTAATTTAATTTGTTTTTTTTAGTCTAATTGACAGCCTAGGTTGTCTTGTGAACTCAGGATTCGTAGACGCCCAATGGTCTCGACGGACTAGACCTGACAGCGCTGTGGAGAGGAATACAGATACAGGGTGAGCAGGGCAGAAGACGAACCTGAGAGGGCGATCATGTCCGTCTGGGTGAGGCCGTTCTGGGCGAAGAGGGAGTTGAGCTGGTCCAGGTTGAAGCCGGGGCCCGGGAGGACGTGCTTCACGATGGCCCTGTTGAACGTCTTGCCGTCCAGCCGCCCCAGCTCCACCGCGTAGTTTGGCCCGCCCAGCTGCAAACGCAAGTGCAGTGCAGGGTGAATTTCTTTGGTCTTTCAGGGAAGGTACCGTCTGTATAGTTTATACCATAGCAGCTCTTGGTCGAACTAGAAGCTAGTAGTAGTGGTGTGGTAGACTGGTAGGAGTAGTGTGCATGCATGGTCGACACTGTTTTTTTTTTGGGTGGGGGGTGGGTGGTGGGGGGGCTGTAGTAGAGGAGTACTGGATGAGTAGCCTGCATACAATTGTCCGCATCCCGTGGCTACAGTCTACGGAGTGGAAATTTTTGTCCCCTGCTGGCAGTCGAGACGCTTGCAAGAGCGGACATCGCGTCTCGCCGTCGTCGGTGCGTCACGGACCTACACTACGAGAAGGAAACTCTTCGCTACGCTAGCACCGGGCGTCACGGGCAGGATTAGGAATAGGAACACCCCAGACACGGCCTACGTACACGGCTGCTACCGTACTAGTAGGAGCACAGAGCTCCGTTTTGCTGTATGGTCCTTGGACTATTCTCATCCATACTCTACTGTACAGTACTCTCTAATGTCTCATGTGATGTCATGTCACTGTCTCAAGCCAGCGAAGCCGTTGCCCAAAGCCCCGGTGCCCGCGCAAGCTCTCGCCCCGTACGCTCGGAACAGCGCGGCAACAGGCAGGCACTGCGGCAGCGCGGGGCGCGGGTGCCTTGCGTCCGCGTCCGCGGGCCAGCGGCGGCTGACACGCAGCACATGTCCCTCTGGGCGAATCGGGGTGGTGCACCGCGCTGTGCAGGCCCCCCGGCGCCCGGTGCCACGCAGGTGCGGAGCTAGAGCAAATTGAAAAGGGATGTGCTTGCGTGGGTGCGTTAATTTTTATCGTGTGGATGCAAATATGTTGAAAATTTAGCTATAATCGCTGTTTTTTCGTTTTTTACGTGGGTGTGCCCGCACCCACACGTTACTATATGGATCCGCCCCTGGTGCTATGGGACCGCGAGTCCGCGACCGGCTGGCTGCGGCCGTCGAGTAAAAAAAAAAGTCACTCGCACGCAGGCTTGGAACAGTGCCGGTGCGTACCCCGGGGCCCGCCTGCCATCAGACGGACCGGCGTGGTGGTGGGCCTTGCCGCGACCTACTCTGGGTCACACAGCTTCACAGGTCACTGGGATTTAGTTCCACCCAAATTTTTAAAAAGTACTACAATAGCTATTATATCGAATCTTACGATACGTACACGTACTATTAAATGTAGACGAAAAAAAAACTAATTACACGATTTGATTAAAAATTGCGACACGTTTTGAGCGTCCATAATTGAACATCAATTGCAAAATAAAAACAAAAATACTATGATAGTCAAATTCCTAATTTCCTCCCAGCTAAACACGCGCGTAGAATGGTAGTACTGCACGGGACGGTGAACTGAACCGACCAGCACGGCGAAAGCTTGGCGTGGGCCCGTGCGTGCCTGGCCGCGGACACTGACACCGTTGTGGCCCCCTACGTGACGCGGTGAAACCGGTAGGATGGCTGGCTGGGCTGGCTGGTGGTGGAGCAAGCTAGAGCCAAGAAAGAAAGAGCAGGATAAGAAGGTTTACCAGGGAGACGACGTCACGTGCGGCCATGGCGAGGATGTCCGCGCACGAGACCTTGCCGGCACACCCGGGGAGCGCCTCCACGGCCGCCTTCGCCTTGTTGATGGCGTCCACGGCGTCCGGCGACAGCGTCGCGTCCGCGCCGCTGTGGCTCTCGTCGTCCCCGTTGGGCGCCATCAGCATCACCGACGCGTCGCATCCCTGCAATATAATGCAATAATCCCCACGGCACAAGGCATGCAAAAGCTCGGTCAGGCTGAGAGACGAGCAGGCACGGACCAAGCGGCAATACCCCGAGCTGCCTTAGTGCCTTACTCTGACGAAGCAGTCGTGGAAGAAGAGGCGGAGCGTGCCCGGCCCGACGGCGAAGCTCTGCTGGAGGTGCTGCGAGATGACGGAGCGCACCGTGGACTCCGCGCTGGGGCACGAGCTGCCGTAGTAGTTCTGCCGCAGCTGCGCCCTCGCGGCGCCCACCATGCCGCCCAGCAGCACGGCCACCACCGTCACCAGCGCCGCGCCGCGCAGCAGCAGCAGGAGGCCGCCGGCTCGAGCTCTCGCCATTGCCGCCTGCCCCTGGCCTTGGCCTCGCTAGCTCGGTCGCCTCGCCGCCCTCGGTGCGCGCGTCCGCGTGCCACTGACACTAGCGTGCGTGCGTGGGCAGGGGCTCTGGCGCGAGGAGAAAAGTGCGGGAGCTGCCGTGGATATATATAGAGAGGACGGCTGTTGGTGGTAGTTACAAACGGCGCGCGCGCGCGCGTGCAGGCCAGGGGAAAAGGGGGCTAGAGGAAGCGGGGGTGGCGCCGGGCGCGGCGCTATGGGCTGCTGCGGCCTGCGGCAGTGCGAGTGCGTCGTGAGGGATCAGCCTCGGCCTCGTCAGTCGTCACGGCGGAGATCGAGAGAGAGTGGCTACACAAACACAATCTCGGCGCGGATGGGACGGAAGGCCTTTTTCCTTTTCCGGTTACCGATGCCCCTTTTTTTTTTATAGTGTTGTTGATTTTACGCAGGGATGAGACGATGGCGCAGGACGGTTCATCAGCAGCAGCTCAGCTCATGCACTGCTGCTGGTTACTTATTCAATAGTAATAATTTTTAGCATATAATTTTTAACATGGATAGTCTTATATGATATTCCCACACAATCTTAAAATATGTGTAAGAGTGTAGCTCTTGATAAGAGCTGGTTTTTCTCTCTTTTCTATTAAAATATGAGAAAAATACTAAAAGCTAACTTAAAAGCCAATTGTTGGAGGAGCCCTAGGAGAATATCCCAAGGATTAGCGCCCGCAAGACTCGTCCAGACGCCATGATGTAGGACGGTTCATCAGCAGCAGCTCAACTCATGAACTACTGTTAAGAGCAAAGCTAAGGCTCTGTTTGGTTCTCTTCTCAGGTGGGCTGCATCGTATTTAGACGACCAGGCCAGTGTTACTCGGGATGTGGCCATGCAAGCCATGCTTGTTTGGTTGCCTTCTTCGGTAGAGCCTGGATGCAATGGGAAGCTGTTTGGTTGCCTTGATCTGCGCTCGTACCTGCATCGCTGCTCTCTCGCGCGAACGCGCACATGGCTCACGCGAGCCAGGCTGCGAGAAAACAGATTCCAAATACGTTTTTCGGGAGCCAGGCGCTGCATGCCCAGTGACAGGCTCGGACGAGTGCAGGAAACCAAACACCGTGAACTTGCATCCCAGGAGCCAAGGACGACTGCATCGGCGCAACCAAACAGACCCTAATAGTATCGGAAGGGCTAGCGCCAGCAAGACTCGTCCTGACGCTGCTCTCGCACCTGCGCCTACATCATATCCCACGCTCCGAGGCCCCGCATCGCATCCCACGACCCCACGCCCCCATATCGCATCGAACGCCGAACGCAGCACTCTCGACGACCCTCGCCTCAACGCCAACGCCAACGCCAACGTTGAGGCGAGATAGAGGGAAGGGAAGGGAAGGGAGTGGGGAAGGGAGGGGAGAGGGCGAGGCGCGTCACACAAGGTAGCAGCCGAAGCTCTGCCCAAGCCGTTGTTGCACATCCAATATACTTTTAAAATATCGAGATAAAACATTTACAACATACGTATGTAGATATCTGAAACAATTGCAAAAATACCTGAAAACTCATGAAAAACCATTAAAATATGCAACATCTAGATAAAACACTTACAATATATGTGTAAAACATACTCCCTCCGTCCCATTGAGTTTGTCGTTGGAAAACCGTGCCCCCCTCACAATCCCGCTTCCCGAGCGACAATCTTAACGGGACGGAGGGAGTATGTAACATCCAAACAAACACACTTGCAACATACGTCTGAATAAACAAACGAAACATTTGGAACATACACTTGCAACATACGTGTATAGCCATTACAATATGTGCAACATCCCAGTCTACTTTTGCAACTTTCAGATAAAACATTTGAAACATACGCTCGCAATATGCGCTTTCAGCGCAATGTGACCTTGCAGCCTAGAGGAATGGAGGCTCGTCGTTGCGGTCGGCGGCGGCACATGGAGCTCACCGGCGCAGCAGCGGCGCGGGAAACTCGCCAATGGGACGGCGTCACGTGAAGCTCCTCTATCAGCCAGGGGAACGACGACGTCGGCAGCACCTCAACGTGGCGGGGTACGGGGGATGGGCTCACCGCGACGAGCGAAGCGAGTTGGAGATTTCTCGACTGTCGTAGTGTAGAGACGGAGGAGAGACCATAGATGGGGTAGGGCCCGTCGTTGGCTATTGGGCCGATCGCTGTTCGTGCCCAAGTACGAGGCGCTCGGACGAATGTGCCTGGACAGAACCCTCACCAGAGTATTATCGTAATAATATAGTCAGTTGCTGACTGTAACGATCTTAGCAGCCTATCTCTTAGTTAGCCGATCCATATAGTAGTTAGCTCTTCATCATTAGCACATGGCTTACTTGTCTCTCTCATAATTTTTTTTTTGATTCTCGTGTCTAAGCCAGCTAGAAGTTTACAGTCCGCTTCTTTCCTTTCTCCTCATCTCTCACCTCTATGTCAGCATTTAACCTCTTTCTCCTCTTCTCAGCATTCAGCCTACCCACGGCCACTTATTATACTTGCTCTAAGTGATAGGCTTCCTCTTTTTTTTTTGTGTGACTTGATATGTTTCCACTGCGGAGTTTTATTTGGTGTTGTGTCGAACAGAACAGGAGTCTAGTAGTGCACAGAACCAGGACCAGCTACATGCTTGCTTACAAGAACCTCAGTGCGAGGATGGTGACATGGTGCGCATGCACCACACAGCGCGGTGCGCGCAGCTAGCTAGCCGCGTCCCCTCTGCGCAGAGCTCGGCATGCACGCATAGCCAGTCTCAGTAGTGCCCAGCAGCTAGCCTATGCCTAGCTACTACCATCCAAAGCTCCTTCACGTGGCCTCGTTGGGTCCAGCTCGTGGCCAGCGGCACCCATGGGCATGGTGGCGACTGGCGACGCAGGCAGGCAGCGCTCCGCTTCCGTGTGTCCTCTACCCAAGGCCGCAAGGCGCCAGGGCCGACCCGGGGACAGAACAAGATTCACGGACATGGCCGGTGCAGAGAAACACGGGGCGCTTTCCGTTGAGAGCTTGTCAGGATCAGGATCACCCCACCTGCGACTCCGAGGCTGTGACCGAACCCGACCGAACCGAGGTGCATGCCTCGGCACGGCAGCGTGCCATCCATGCCATGGCATCCATGGTCCCTCTTCCTGTCCCTGTTGTGCTTAATTCCCTTTCGATCTGGCGTTGTTGTCATGGTAAATGGTTTGTACCATAGCTGTTAGCCCATCCATCAATCATTGTAGCCGATGATTGTTTCAGAGAGGCATGAGAATGAGACCGGAAAAAACACCATCTTTGGTTGGGACCAGGACTACCAAAGCACATCATTCAGGCATTCATTCATCAGACCGCCATGAACATCTATCATTTTCATTTGATCCCACAGGCACCAAAACTTCTTCACTCTCCTGCAGCCTTCCTAGTCCAGCCAGCGTCATCCAAACGTACTAGTAGTAACCTGATAGGTAGTCAAAATGTTATGCTACACATCTGCTGTTCTTTGTGCTGGAAATATTCTAGCGCCCCAACCAATCTGTGTCAGCTGTTGCTATTGGCCCAAGAGCAGAGCTAATCTTATTCTAACAATGGAAGTACAGGGCAGTTACACTAACCCACTAGTAGTGCATGCATACTAGTATTTGCATAGCTAACAAGGCTACTTTTACCAGGCCGGGGCCGGCCATGCATCGAACGCAGGAAACAACTCCCCCTGCTCCGAGTCCGAGTGTTTCAGGCGACCAACATGCATCGCTACTGCCGTGTTTTCTCGGGGAAACGGGTGTTTTCTGCAGGTCGCGTTGCGCGCCTACGTTGGATTGGCGAATGCTGAACCATGGAAGCAACTTGACAGCGTAGATTAATAATCCTGTGTTAACCCTGCTTCCAGAGCCGCATAGGGTGCGGTGTTTTGTAATGTCCAGGGCAGGCGCATCTGCCTGCCGTTCTGATCGATCGTGACGAAAAGCGAAAGAAAACGCTTTTGTTTATTTCGGCCCATCAGAATACGAGGGATCTTGGCCATTTCTGCCTGAATCGTCTCGCGGCAGCTGGTGTGGTGTCCATGCGCACCATGCGTCCATGCCCCCCCCCGACCCCTGTGGTCAGTGCTATCCAGTATTCTACTGAAACTGTCGAATTTTTGTCCACTCTTTGTTTGAGGGAAATTTACTGCAGCTGTGAAACCATTCCGTTTCCGTAGTGTAGGATATACCAGAAGTACTACTCGTCGTCAGGATTCTAATTTGTCTCACCAGTATACCAGTTTAACCAGCCATGTGCAAATGCAACCCCTGATTTGTTACTGCTCGGTGCTCGGTAATTTCCCTTGACCGAGCCGGCGGAGGCCGGAGCTATACGTAACCCGTATTGGCTGTGTGCCGTAGGTAGTACTAGGCCCCATGCGGCCGGGCCATGCCACTGCTGGGGTAACTGTGAAGTGTATTGTACTCAGAGCTGTATGCCTCTGTCATGTAAAGGGTGCAACATTCAGCAAAAAGGAAGGAACATTCTTTGAATAGCTATAGCTATAGCTCTTCCCCGTATCAATGCCTTGAAACCAGGCGAAGGTTGGCTCCTTCAATCACGGAGAAAATGTAGCACTAGCAACCTAGTTTGGTCAGGAATTTGCAGGAACCATATAGTGCTTTCTTCTGAGTTCTGAGAGAACAAGAAATGGATTCATACGGAAGGAGACGTAGCTAGCACGGCCATTTCCAAAGATCAATAATTGTGGCACCCAACTCTATGCTACAGTCGCGTTCAGAAGTTAGGACCCGTGATAGAGCTCAACCAAAACAATTTCAGCTGTGGTTTCTTTTTTTCTTCAGTTTCTCTAATTAGAAATTTGGTTTTTCTAATTGTTAAAACAGTGAAATGACTATAATATATATTTTTTTATTTTGCTGAGCTAAGGGTAGTTCACACGTCTGCCGAGCTAAGGCTCTTCTATTTCTTTCTTTCTTTTTTCTTCTTTTATTTGTTTTTCTTCTCTTCTTTTATCTCTCGTGTCTTCCCTTCTTCCTCTCTCTTATTTAGTTCACCAAGCTCCTCATCTTTCACCTTGCTTGACCTCTGACTCTGTCTTCGATCATTGGCCCTCTCCTCCTCCGCGCAACTCCTCTTCCATTACAACTCCTTCGTCGCCCTGTCTCCTACCATAGCACTGCCTCTCATTGCCGCTCCTCCCTTCATGTTGTACCTCCTCTGTCGCCATCCGCCCATCCCTACCACTAGCCTTGCACGCTTGCGTATGTGGCCTATGTCGCCGATTGCTGGTGCGTGAGGGAAGAGAACAGAAGCATGTGGACCTAGGGACATTGATGTCCAATCGAGCATCACAAGAGGAGACGGTAGAAGCTATAATTTTCAGCTCCTCCAACTCCTACAGGCGCAGGCCTCTCTCAACGCATAGCTATTTTGTCATGTCCCCTTTGATAGCCCTGCGCGTTCAAGTATTCCGGAAGCCACTGAAGAAGCACAACTAAATGGTCCCTTACTTGATATTTTTCTTTCATATAGATTGGTAAAGACCAACAAGGCAACAACTATACAATAGCTCCAACTTGGCGAGGACATGTTCAGCATCGCCTCGAATGCTGTCATCAACTTCTCCGGTGCTCTCGCCGCCGCCGCTACCATGGTACTTCTTTTAGGCCTGTCTCAGTGGAAGTTTCATGTCTTTGTTCTCAAGACTCTCTATTAAAGGCAATATCCTATTAAACTTTCATCATCTCTCTAAATCTATACTATTAGTTTATTTAATGCCCATAAAACCTCATAGAGATCTGGCCTTAAAAAAAATCTAGGGCACCTTCTCGTTGATGTATAGAAAAATTGTAACGCATGTATTATTCTATTGCTTGTGCTTGCTGATGCTAATCCGTTCACCGAGGTGTCAAAAGAAGAGTTTGGTAATAATGCGATCCAAACTCCAAGGTCTAAGGACAAGCCTAATCATAGACAAAGAAAGGAGCATAGCACTACAACAATAATCAATTGTGTGGATGTCAAAGATATGGAACAGCTAAAAAATCCATCCATTTGGGGTGAGTGCTTGCCTTCATTCACGGAGGAAAATATGGACAAGCATACGTCAGTACAAGTATACAACTCATGTGAACCAACCATGAATGTCTGTATACAAGCTAGCTATGTAACAGCTGTGTGTAACAGTTGTGTTCATGCTTAAGCATGCCATTAGACAAGCAATCCGTAGAGATGCACCTTGCAGCATCTTTGAAATAGGATGCCCCTTATTCGTCAAGTAGACCCAGCCTCACTACAAACCCTAGCCACCAGTTATTGTTTGTTGATAGGAGTCATATATGTTGATCTGTCCCCTGGCATCGGGTTCTTTTGAACTGTTAGAAGCTCTGAATAATAGATAGTTCACTTTTATCGCCTCAAGCACTATGGCACAAAGCATGGAAAAGTGAAACGCCAGTGGAGTAATATGGGATTTCAAGAGCACCAGAGGAATTATCTCAAGCGATTACAATGACTTGTTTGCTTGCGACTGAGTTTATACTCACTCATCATGAGGCATATAGCACAAAAACTTAAACATCACACTATTTTTTTGAGGAACAACTTAAACATCACACTAGATCAGGAAACCAGATATTAAATAACTCACTCTAACTCCCAACTATACTAACACTACTACTACAACTTAAACATCACACTAGATTAGGAAACTAGAGATTAAACAACTCACTCTAACTCCCAACTATACTAACACTACTACTACATCTTGAAAGAGTGGAGATGTTTGCTCCTTAGATGTGTCTTGAATGAGAGGGTATTTGTAGTTCTAGGAGGTACCTTGGGGGCGGAGTGAAGATGCTTCCTTGATCCTAGTGAATATTCTATTTGGTGAGCCCATGGATCCAAGTGCTCCAAAACATCATTCATTGGATCAAACCGCCATCAAACCAAGGGTGGAGATTAACCATAGTTGTGCTTATTTGCATGTTGACTGAAGAGAAGTAGTGGGAGCCCCCTGGGGGTCAGCCAACCATAGGGGGGTCGGTCGACCCTCCCCTGCTTGTGGGCCCTCCTGCTCTTGTGGGGTGCTTGGCCCAATGTCATGGTGAGGTGTAGGTTGTGTTGGAGATGTGTGTGCGCCGTCTAGAGAAAACACAACATGCATTTGATGATTGAAAATGTTTAGAAGTGTGTTTTCTTGCTTGTCACGTGGACTGAGGGCCAAGGGGGTCATAGGGTCGCACGACCCCCCCCCCCCCACACACACAGGGTTACCCCTCTTGGTCCCACATTGTCCTATATTTCACCTACATACTCAAATAGTCCATATACATGTAGAACCATGTCATTTGTATAAAATATGCTTATGCAATGCTCATTTCCTTTTATTCCGAGGCACGTTGACAGTATTTTCAAGATATACAATCATGTCATTTTCACCCTCAACAACGGACCACCACATATATATATCAAACTTGACCGATATTTCGGTCTAGTTACGTATGTATATCATATTTGTATCGGTTTAGCATATAACAATTATATTATAGTTGGTAATTCAGCAAACAAATGGTACATGAGAACATTAAAGATACCTCTCACATGAAAAGCATATAAGAAGAATTTTTCCCGTCGTCCATATAATTTATCAGAGATGATACATCGAATGATCAAAACCAAAAAACACATGCATAAAATAAATTTAGTAAGTAATAACTGAGTGAATATACAATTAAAAAATGTTAGACGTAGTAGGAAAACATACCAATCTATCAGCACTCAGAATTCAGATTCGCTAACACCAAATCACCAAAAAAATCTCAAACAAAATCCCTACGACAGGGGTATGCCAACAGTCGACCACACCACACGCAGCAAAGGCCCTGGGGCCAGGGGCACTGGCACACCGCACGCGGCTGCTGCCTGCTGCTCGCCTCCCGGCCTCCCCCTGATAGCTGACGCCCTGAGCCCGTGGCTAGGCAGCCGCGCAGCCACCTGCCACCGGAATTTGGGACTGGGAGGAACTCACCGTATTTTTCTCTCACGCAAACCAGCCAGCAGTACTTCTTCACGAACCAGTAACGAGATGAACCGGCCAACCAAACAGTGCCAGACGGGAAGAGAACCGCCGCTCGCCGCCCGACGCACCAGGCACCGTCTCACGTCAGCCACCGTGCCCGAGGGGCCGGACACCGGACGCCGCCGCACGCTGGAAGCCCCGAAGCCGCCCCTACACGCTGTCGCCTCCGAGCGGATGTGCCCTGCCTCCTGGCCCTAGAGCAGCAGCGTGAGGCTTGTGGATTCTTCTATCGTTGGAGGTGTAAACAGAAGGCGGATTAGTGGATTGTTTCCATCGTAGATCGGACTAAACGTCGGCATGGCATCGTAGATAAGCATTTAATTCGGGTAACACAGCAAGCATTCTCTGCGTTGATTGGGATATATCACTGATGAGGGATGACAGTTACTGTATCTTATCTATGGCAACCACCAGCAAGACAGATACTCAGATCCGGCGTCCTCACAGGCTAAGCGACAACCAGACAGTTTTCCATTTTTAAAATTTCAAACTTGAAACTCGTTATCAGCTACGTATTGGATAACGCATCCTGGTCAAACACCTTTATTCCGCAAAAAAAAGGGGTCATCGAATGAGAACAACCATCCAAACTCGTAATAGCCGATACCGCGGTGATGACCACCTCACTGAAGCCAGACACTGCCCTGCAAAATCATATAGCCAACTAGTAGAGTAAGCACAATACGGCAAGCTGCACCGAACTGAGAACAACTATTAAGCATAATACGGCAAGCTGCACCAAACAGAGCACTGAAACGAACAAGAAAGCTCAAAGTCCAGCTGCAACACAAAATTCGATAACCAAGCGTGTATGGGTGTACGTTGTAAGGGTTCTTGCCCCCTTTTCTTCTTAATATAAAGATGCACAGCTCTCCTACGTGTTCAACAAAAAAAAAACACACACACAAAAAAATTTCCAATAGAACATGAAGAGAATAAAGTGCTCAGCAACTTTATAGATCATACACAAAGTAGCAGATAAAGTTAAATCAAGATTAAATGTTGCTTTGACAGAGACTCTGGAATTTTTAAATCTATTAGGTAATTTGGACTGATTGATTGTCTTGCTAACTTGTGACTGTCTGACAGCTAGGCTAACTGGGTAATTCAATCTATTTGAAGAGTTCCAACAGACCAACACATGGCTTCTCTATGTATCCCAAAGTTCCATCAGTGTACTTTGTTAAAAAGAATAAGGTTCTTCTTTGACAGAAAACTGGCTGGAGAGAATAAGGATCTACGAAATAAAACTTAGGGGCTGTTTGGATTTTCTCCTCTAAACTTTAGAGCTAAAACTCCAAACAAGTGGTCTAAAGTTAGCTCTAAATTTTAGTCCACCTCACATTAGAGCTTTAGAGCTCAAAAGTGAGCTGAAGTGCTCTAAAACTTTTAGAGGTCTAAAGTTTAGAGGAGGGGATCCAAACAGCCCCTTAATAACATGTCAATAACATTCTCAGTCCTAACCATTGGTTCTACAGAAATGTATCGGTGCACAGGAAGTTAAAGGTTCTACTAAAATTGATTTTATAGTGCCACAAACAGAAGCAGAAAGGAGTTAATAAGACTAATTTACCTGCACTATGAACACCATTCCCTAGCATTCTGGAACATCCGCAGCCAAGGGCTGGGGCCACTCTTCTCAACCTGCCATTCCTTGGGATACCATGGGTATTGCCACATCATGAAGCAACGCTCCGGATGCGGCATCATAGCAAGGTGCCTCCCATCAGGGGAGCAAAGGGCTCCAATACCTAGTGGAGAACCATTAGGATTGAAGGGATAGGTCTCGGTTATGTTGTTAAAATCATCGCAATATCTCACAGGTGCCAGATTAGACTTTACAACAGTAGCTAGAACATTTTCATCTGGGAAGAAAGCTCTTCCCTCGCCGTGAGCACTCCAAACACCCAAGGTAGAACCTTCCATCCCCTTGAACATGATAGCAGGAGAATCCCCAGTGGACACACTGGTAAACCGGCACTCGAAACGACCGGATTCATTGTGAATAAACCTGGGCTGGGACATATCTCCACCTTTACCAAGAGAACCTCCAACATCAGATCCTGGCACCCAGCCAAGAATAGCCATAAGCTGACAACCATTACATACTCCAAGGCTGAACGTGTCTGGCCTATGGTAGAAATCCTGAAATTGCTGAATGAGGGGTTTGTTAAACCTGATTGATGCAGCCCAACCTTTCGCTGAATCCAGCACATCTGCATAGCTGAAACCGCCAACAAACGCAATCCCACGGAACTCTGTTAGAGAAGACTTCCCAGCCAAGAGGTCTGACATTGTGATATCCCATGGTTCAAATCCAGCAGCGTGGAATGAAGCAGCCATTTCCCTGTCCCCATTGCTCCCTTCTTCACGAATGATAGCGACCTTTGGTTTCGAGGAAGCAATCAACAGTTTCTCATCTGTGAACTTGGGAGTGAATAACAGAGACCATGATGGCGATGTTCTGCATTTTAATCCTTCTTTGTCAAGTTTGACACAAGATTTCAGACGTTGTAACTCCTCAAGCTGGAAGCTCGTTTCCTCCCAGAGATCCCTGAGATCTGAAGTTTTTTCCTTGAGATGTTGATTGCCATCAACAAAAACTTCTATTTCTGGTGAGCAAGTAACTTCTCCAATTACATTAGCAGAAATGCCTGTTGCTTCAAGCTTTTGCTTCACGATATTGAGATATTTCGAGTGCACTTCAATAACAAGGCCAAGCTCTGCAAAAAGTCCTTCAAGAAGGCTCCTATCTTCCAAGTCTATGTCGAGCTTAAAACCACAATTACCAGTAAATGCCATCTCAAGAACACTCACAATAAAGCCACCATCGCTTATGTCATGGCCTGCTGAAATAAGACGTTGACTGAGCAATTCCTGAATGGCCCCGAATACCTTCTTCAGGTACATAACATCATCAATGTCTGGGCAATCATGGTGGTCAGCAATTTTTTCCCTCTACCTGGGCTGCTGGCCCATCAGGCGCTTCGTAAATTTTATTTTATTTTCTATTTTTATATGGCCAAAATTCCCCTTCCCTGAATCCCTTTTGAATTCGTCCAAGTTTTTTTTTCAATATTGCTATCCATCAACCGGTTAATTTAGGAGCTTGTATCAACTGATTTTTAGGCCGTTCTTTGCCGTCCGCCGATGGCCTAGGCCGATGCGTCCGCCATTGTTAGGTGTATTTATGCATCCATCATCCGTGCGTGCGTAGTTCGTGGCAAAAGTGGAGCAGCGGCCGCCATGCCTGCCAGCTGGGCGCGTGCACACAGAAGATCCAATCCAGGACACGTCGCATGCAGTTAGCTGCTGTGTGATCCGATCCAGGACACGTCACATGTAGTTCGTCATGCATGCTTCTCACTATAGAGAAATTTGTAAGTTTGTGAACAATTTGATGATATCTATGAACAATTTGATATATATTTCTCTGATATTTGGAATCCATAGAAAAAAATTGTAAATTTTTTTTTGAAAAATTTGGTATATATTTGTGTTATTCCTAAATTACATCACTCTATTCAATACAATGAAGAAATCGTTATAAATATAGTAATAAGACAGTGTAAATATAACTAGAAGATGGCGTAAGTAGTAGGAAAAATTAGGGAGGGGCCAAAACATATGAATGTCACTAGACATATATTTTTTTCTGGTCGGTTCCTGTTGCTCTTCCTCGTCGAACTATAACATACACTACCCCTCTCTGTCCCCCACAAGTGCATTTGCCTGCGCTCTGCCACAAGGATACGTCGTGGTCACAGCCACCAGCGCATTGCAAAGCATGAGCAAGCTCGACTACTGCTTCAGCAATGACTACATGGTGCTGCGGCCGGACAGGGCCGGCCCCGTGGAGTTCCTGCACCTCCTCTTCTCGCCCAAGGTCGGCCGGAACAGGGCCGTCGACTGCTTCACCAGCACCGAGATCCGCAGCTTCGCGCGCCGGCTCGTGCAGGTCCTCCTCCTCTCGCTCTCTGGCCCGCTGGCCGCGCTCGGCGCCGCCGTCGAGTTCGTGCTCAACCTCGTCGACAACGTCCTCCATGGTCAGTGTGCATGCATGTAACTTGCCAGCGTGGTTGCTTGCGACACGCGCGTGCACGCAGTGCCTGCCATCAGGGCATGCAGTGCAAAGTAGAAGAGAACTCGGTGTGTGTTTGACGCAGTTCGCCGTTGTTCTACCGTGGCCGTGCATGCAGGGCGGATGGAGTATCCTGACAGATCGTCGCCGACGTACCGATCGGTGATGGGGCTCATCGACCGGAGAGTCGATCTGGACCGGAGCATCAAGCCGACGGACAGCCGGTTCGACGCCGCGCTCTGTGTCATGGCGTCCAAATTGGCGTACGAGAACGAGGCGTTCATCCGCGACGTGGTCACGAGCCACTGGCAGGTAAGTGCGCGCGCGCATTGCCAGTTTCTCCTTTAAGTTTGTGCGTTCATTCGTTCGGTCAAATTTGAAAGAGGAGCTGATCGAAACGGCCGCACTGTGGCGCATGCAGATGGAGCTCGTGCGTTTCTACAACTGCTGGAACGGTAAGACGTTGCTGCTATGTGTGTTCGCGCTTGCATTGCAACAAGCCGACATTCTTGATTCTTCTCGGTACCATGCAGAGTTCCAGGACGCGTACGCGGCGCAGGCGTTCGTGTTCTGCGACAAGGCGGCGGCGGAAGCGGAGCTGGTGGTGGTGGCGTTCCGCGGGACGAGGCCGTTCGACGCGGCGGGATGGTGCGCCGACCTGGACCCGTCGTGGTACAAGATCCCCCGCCTCGGCCACGCGCACGCCGCCTACACCCACGCGCTCGGCGCGCAGCGCAACATCGGTTGGCCCAAGTGGGTCGAGCACATCAAGGGCAAGCCCCAGAAGGTACGGTCTTGGATCGCTTCGTTGATGCACACGCACGAACGCCGGCGACGCTGATCGATGAGCATGCACTGATTTCCGCATGCGCCCGCCGCAGGTGTACGCGTACTACACGATCCGGGACGCGGTGAAGGAGCTGCTGGAGGCGAACACGAAGGCGCGGGTGCTGGTGACGGGGCACGGGTCGGGCGGCGCGCTGGCGGCGCTGTTCCCGGCGATCCTGGCGTACCACAAGGAGAAGGCGGTGCTGGACCGGATGGCGGGGGTGTACATGTTCGGGCAGCCGCGCGTCGGCGACGCCATGCTCGCCATGTTCGTGGAGAGGAACCTGGACCGCCCCAGGAAGCGTCATTTCAGGATCACCTACGGCGACGACTCGCTGCCGCGGCTGCCCAACGAGAGCTCCGCCGTCCATTTCCTGCATTTCGGCCTTGGCCTCCACTTCGACAAATCTTACAAGCTCAAGGTGATTTATTATTCATCATTCAACCAGACCACTGGCTGAGCTGCTACTGCTAGTTCCATCTGCATTTTCATCACCTTGCAACTGCGAGCAAATTACAATGCGTGCAGGTGCTGAGGGAGATCCCGAGCGAGGAGGCCTCCTCTTCGGTGGTGGACGCGGTGACGAGCCGCGTGAGCTCGGCCGCGGCGTGTACCTGGGCTACCAGCGCGGCGCCTACTTCCGGGAGGGGTGGCTCCTGCTGCTGATGCGGGTGCTGGCGGTGGCGCTGCCGGGCTTGACGTTCCACAGGGTGCAGGACTACGTCAACGCCATGGTGCTAGGAGGCTACATTCCCAAGGGTAACTGATGGATGTCTGATGACGGATGAGTCGTCAGTGTTCAATCATCTGAATCTGATCGCCTGTCCATTAACCTACTCGTAGCAATTACGTAAGCAGACTGCTACGGTATGCATGTATGTGAGAATTTGTTGTGTACTGAACTATGAACAAAAGTATAAGTGTAGAAGAACGAAGCTAAAATAAAGTATGTGCACAATTAAGTATGCATGTACTGGGTCTCAAGTGTTGTACGCTGTCGTTGCTTCAAACATCACACAAACATTTTGGCATTTTTACAACCTTATAGGTAGTATATTGAAGAACCATTAATGTGGTTTCTAAAGATGCACTAGTTTGTAGAGTACTATAACAAACAAGCTGGCCACGTTGCCTAAATTTTGTTCATACAGAACATAAGTAAATTTTTCTATCGAAAGATCATACAGAAGTACAGAACATAAGTAAATTATCACCAGGACTCGAGGAATGCCTCGCTGATCTCAAATATTCTGGCACAAATATCTTGCATTCCTGGTCGATCTTTGGGTAGTTCCATGGAACATGAGAGGGCAACCTCAACCAATGGTATCAGGTAGCTCTGTAGTGTTGCAAATGCATGATTTCCCCCCTGGGGCATGTAGGGATCTATAACCTCATGAAGTCCATTTGGATATGCTGAGTTCACCAGCTTGTGAAGGGTCATGCCACTGGTGAACATTGTATCAGTGGGGCGCTTTCCGGTGAGTAATTCCAGTAGCAACACACCGAAACTGTAGACATCGCACCCAGTTGAGATTTTATACCCCATTCCATACTCTGCAAAGCAACTATTCCATGTTAGCAAAGAGAGAGAAAATGCTAGTATGAAACTTATAACAAAGGTGCTCACCAGGTGCGATATATCCAATAGTTCCTCCAACGCCAACAAAGTCTTCCGGACTACCGAGGGCCGAAGAGATAAACTTCGCAGATCCAAAATCACCAACACGAGCCGTCATATCGTAATCCAAAAGAACATTGGCTGGCTTCAAATCACAGTGAACTAGAGGTGGTGTCAGTTGGTTGTGCATGTAGTCCAAAGCAGAAGCCACATCCATAGCTATTCTGATTCTCTGGCCCAAGCTTAGACCTCTCTTGGGGCTATTTTGTTGTAGCTTTGGGTGCACCCACATATCCAGGTTTCCATTGGCCATAAAATCGAAAACTATAGCTTTGAACTCATCGTTCTCCAAGTCCACTGTTGAGCATAAGGTCACGGCTTTCATAAGATTGCGATGGCGGGTGTTTCTGAGCACTTCACATTCCATAAGAAAGCTATTTAGTGAACCATGCTCATCGAGATGAAACACTTTGATGGCCACGATATCTGTGTCAAACTCAAACCTTCCAATGTAGACAGAACTGGTGCGACTTGAGCTGATCTTGTTGATGGGAGAGAGCCAACTAGTAGCTTTAAGGATGTCATTGTAGGATACCTTCTTCATTGTCTCCTTATAGCATGGAGCTGTGTGTGCTTTTTTCTTCAGAAGGGTGACCACAAAGCATACAATGGAGAATAAGGCAATAGTGATCGGTGGGATTACTATTAACAGCAGGCGTGCATAGCTCTTTTGTGTTTGACTGGCTGATATTCTAGGGCACATAAGGAATAAAGATGTGAAGGTAGTTTCCTTTGCACAAAGCCCTACGTTCCCATCTAAGATTACTGCCGTGGCATTCTCGAATACTCCTCCTGTTGGAATTGGCCCTACAAAGTAGTTGTAGGACAGATCAAGTAGGCTCAACAGAGTGAAGTTCCTAAAATACTCTGGAATATGTCCAACAAAGTTGTTTTGCGAAAGATCGACCAGATTGATGGACTTCAGGTCACTGAAAGACTGAGGAATGCTCCCATTAAGGTTGTTGTGTGACAAATCCAAACTCGTTAACTGCAAAGTACCAGCAACGAGTTGACTTGGTATTGATCCAGAAAGATTGTTATTAGATAAGTTTAGCATAACTAATTGCTTGCAGTTTCCTAAATTTGCCGGTATGTTTCCACTCAAATTATTGTTGTCTAGATGAAGTTCTAACAGCATAGAAAGATTACCCATAGTAGATGGGATCGGACCTGACAAGCTGTTCTTGGACAGATTTAGGATGACTATCTGACGTAGCTTTGCAATGCTGGAAGGAATTCCTCCAGAGAGTAAGTTCTGGTTCATGTCAAGCATTTGAAGATTCGAAAGGTTTTGTACCACAATTGGTATTGTGCCAACTAGTTGATTCTGTCCAAGTGTTAACGCAATTAAACTTGCAAGTTTTCCAACCTCAAGCGGTATTGGGCCAACTATTTTGTTGCTCCCGAAGTATAAGAGTTCTAAACTTGCCGAAAGGTTGCCAATTAGTCTAGGCAAACATCCATTCAGGTTATTCCCATCCATTGCCAATGCTTCTAGCTGTGTGCAATTTGTGAGAGAGGCAAGGAATGTCCAATCATCAGATTCTAGCTGGTTAGATCCAAGATTTAGCAAGTACAGCTCAGGTAAGGACCCTAGAGATGGCACTGGGCCAACTAGTGAGTTATTGGAAAGATTGATCGCTTTGAGCATTGATGTGTTAGCTAGCGATGCTGGGATGAATCCCGTCATTCTGTTACCGAACATGTTCAGAACTTCCAGGTTCGGTAACATGTTCCCAATCCTAGATGGTATCCTTCCTGTAAGGTTATTCAGGCCTAAGTCAAGGAAAATAAGGGACGAGATGTTATAAAGTTGGGCCGGCACATGCCCCAATAGGTTGTTTTCACGTAAACTCAGCATGATAAGGTTACGAATTTGACTTAGAGTTTCTGGAGGTGATCCACCTAAGTAGTTTGAATCAAGGTATATTTTACTGAGGGAAGAAATATTTCCTAGTGATGGAGGTATGCTCCCAGAAAGATTATTCTCTGCAAGGTTAAGAATTTGCAGTGCCGCCATGTTCTGGAAGTCTGGGATACGTCCAGCGAAGAAATTCCTTTGAAGATTGATAACAACAAGTCTTGATGAGCTGTTGAACAGACTAGCAGGGATCATTCCAGATAAGTTGTTACTTGTCAGGTTTAACACAGTAAGTGACGAGCTAGTTGCCAAGGAATGGGGGATACCTCCACTGAGAACGTTGTATGCAAGATTGATGTACCTAAGACTTGTACTTCTAGTACCTAGTGACCCTGGGATGTTGCCTGTAAGCTTATTACTTGCAAGCATCAGATCCTGGAGCATAGGAAGTGTTCCCAACTCCTCAGGCATGCCTCCAGACAACATATTATTTTCAAGATCTAAGCGTGCTAGTGAAGTAAGATTAGCAAGAGAAGGAGACAGATTCCCAGTCAGCTGTAGAGAGTTCAGGTTCAGTGAGACGACACGGGGTGGAAGAGCCTTACCGCAAGTGACCCCTCTCCACCTGCAGAAGTCGACCGATTCATCGCGCCATGAGCGCAAGACACTGAGGGGATCCAAGGAGATGCCAGCCTTGAAGGAGAGGAGGGCTTGCCTGTCGATCTCGGATTTGTTCACTGATTCTGCAGCTAAGATTGCAACGGAGGCGAAGGAGAGGAGGACGAGTAGATGAGCCACGAGAGTGAAGCTGAGTAGATGAGCCATGTCTCCAAGCCAGGACAGAGCCTTTGCTGCAATGCCGTGCTGTGCAGGTTCCTTCTTCAATTCAGTGGTTATCTTTCTCCTGCAGTGGAAAAAGAGAGCTTAGTGCCCTAGTCCTTGTCTCCTTTGACTAGCCGAAGACTTAGACTTGCTTTATGACTAGTAGGCTTTTAGCCTGTTGGCTCGTTAGTTTCAGCTACGACTTATCAGTCAGCTAACAGTATTTCTCTCTCACAATAAACCAGCACCAGCCGAACTTATCAGTGCAGAAACCAACCAACGAACAGACCGTTTATAACTCGTAGAACTACCATGTTCTTTTCACATGTTCTTTTCAGAACATGGAAAGCTTTACTTGATCCAATGATTTCAACCATTCGTATGGTGTGGATTTGATCATTTGACTTGGAAAATAGTGCATGTGCTTACACTCCTGTACCGAAAACCTCTAGAACTCAGGTCGGCGATTTTCCTTTCGCAATATAATCCAGGTGGGACTGCAAAATTTTACTTCACATTAGGCATCAGAGAGAGCATCCACCGAAAGGGAATTGTTTGTTCTGTTCCTCGATATATTCTGATCATTGGCCATGTAAGGCCAAATTTTGCCTTCCGCCCTTCACGATTCTACAAGTGTGAGGATAAATGAACTATGGTTGAGAAACGAATGAAACATGGCACACGGATTCTACAAGAGCCACCTAATCTTCCGCCTATGAAATGGAAGTTGTTTTTATAAAGAAAAAGATTTATTGAACTCAGAGTGGGTTTGGCAACTACATGCACTGAGACAGTGGTGGGCACAGGACTTTGAGCCTAGGTATTACAAATATGAAAGGGTGTTAAAAATATTTGTTTGGCAGCACAAACTCTAATATTTGGCATGCACAATACCATAGAGTTGTAATTGTAGAGTATATAGCAAATATATAACACATGGTTGAGCATGATTCATATATTCATAGAATTTGAGCACAACTTAAAATTGTTTAACATAAAGAAATACGAATAGTTCAACATACCAAAGTGGACACATCTGGAAATATAGATTAGGGGTGATTTGTCATTTTAATTTGGATGATGGCATGAGGCATGGATTAGTAGTGAATAGTTTAATAGCTAATTTTGTCACATTCAATTTCAGAATAAAAAAAGGGAATATTAGATTTGTCAGGCAGGCAGGCTCATCAATGACCGAATGAAATAAAATGAAGGGAAAATTAGTTCTATAACACTGAAAGATCGCGATATCCGGAAAACACCATCGAAAGCTTGTCCGTGCGTGAAATAGTACCGAAAGAACGAACCATTACCTGAAAATACCATTCTGTCACGGTCTGAGATAACGCTGTGAACTCAGCGTCATGGTGGTCACGGCCCCAGGCAACATCGCCGCCTCCCGGCGTACGTCGGTCTGGTGGCGCTCCCGTTACCCAGCCACCCGGAGCTGCCCACGGGCGTCGAGTCCACATACGCGCACCCTCGCACTCGCTCTTCCCGGCGTTCCTGCACGCCATGGCGCTGCTCCGGGATCCCATTGCGGGGTACCTGGCCTCACTCCCCTCGCCACCGCTCGTGCTCGTCTTCGAGTTCTTCCTCGGGTTCACGCAGCGCGTCGCCGGCATCCCCCGCGTGATGTTCCACGACATGTCTGCATTCTCCTTGGTGCTCTGCTTCTCCCTTGCGACCAGGCCACCCCCAGTCGAGAGCATCCAAGACGACACCCCCTTCATCGTCCTGAGGTTCCCGCAAAGCGTCACGATCACCGCGGATGAGGTCGCGGACGCCATGGCGCAGGACGTCGACCTCGACGACCTGGTGACACAGTTCTTGTTCGACGACCTCGAGTCATTCTACCTAGTTGGCCTGCTATTCCTCACCACCGGCGAGTCGCGAGGCGGCGGCGACAAGGACGAGGACCCCGAAGGGTGCCTTGCGTGGCTCGACGAGCGGCGGTTGGTGGTGTACGTGTCGTTCGGCACGCAGGTCCACGTCACCGTGGCGCAGCTCGAGGAGCTCTGTGGTAGAACCACCTAATCTAATGCCTCCCAAGAGTACCTGTCTTCCATTAGACACTAAGTACTCAAGGGAGGACACTAAATTATGCAGTTCCGTCGAGCACACCCTAAGGGAGAACCCGAAAGTCCATATTTTTCCATTAGGATCACAAATGAGAGAATAAAGCTTACAACATTCTTAAGTTATTTCTTACATCACTTTTCATACAACATCAGAGTATAATATTTATTATTTATAACAACGGAATATATCCATGTTATCAGAGTTTCAGCGGAAATAAAATTATTTAACGACAAGTTAACATTAACATGATGATCCGTTATATACATTGTAATAGGTTATAAGTTCTTCATTGTAAAACATTTTGGGTGAAAGTTTCAAATAAACTCTATATCCGCAATGTTAAGGAAATCCTCGCTGAGCCCACCAGGAGGTTTCCACGTACAAATGTCAGCCTCACATGTTCCTGTCACCTGCAACAGGATAGAACAAACCCTGAGTACTCAATTATACTCCACAAGACTTACTCGTCAGGAGAAAAGAAAAGACTTCAAGGATATGCAAAGCTATCTGGCTTGTGGGTTTATTGCATCTGCAACAACCACTACTAAACGTGCATCCTTATATTCAATTTTATTAACAGTCATCATTAGTTCATTAACTAACCATTCTATGTAAGCACATGTGCTACTTTCAAGCAGGTGGTAAGCAATCAGAACCATTTTACCATCTTTCATATTCCAGTTCTTACTACGGTGCCAGATTGTAGACAAGCCATATCGTATTACACGGCGATTCACGAATCAATGTAGCCCAGCTGGGTACCCCGAAACACACGCCCCGCTTATACCCCAAACACAAGCAGGACGAACCCATCACTCTCTTGTCAAGTGGTCTAGGTCCCTGTCCAAACTTGGACTTCAAGCCCCCACACCTGAGTCCCGGACTCAGTGTGGTGCTTAGACATCCACCATCCCCGCCTCCAATCAGTCGGTCTAGAAAGAGTCAAAACCCACGACAAGAGAGCAACAATCTTTTCCTGCTCCCATAAACAAGTATGTGCTCAGGATAATAAATATGTGACCTGACTAGAATCCAATGCAACGGACGGTCTTTAACTAACACAGGCGGAACAAGCGCAATCCGAGCCTCGCTCGAATGCCAAACCAAGTCCAGATCAGAGTATCATTCCGCCCGGTCTCAAATTATCATTCATATATTTTCTATGTGATAGTAATATAATAATAACAATAATATCTTTCCTATCTCTCGTGAGTGATATGCAATCACTCGACTTCTACCAGAGTCATGTAGCTTAGCAATATACACGATCATGTCATACTAGTAAAACTAATAGGATAATGATATATATATATATATATATGCAAGTGGGTTTCATTCAACTCCTTAATCTTAATATACAAGCATAAAATAAAGTGTAGAATAATACGGGTTATGCACCGAGGTTTGCCTGGGTAGGATATAATCAAAAGTTAGCATTCCATCGTGGTGGCATGATCCTGCGGACCACCCTTTCGATACTCCAGATGACTCCATGATCCCTCATTGTTCCTATTAGGGTATACGTGGATGAAATGCAGAGATGTAATTAACCAACTGCAACCGTGACTCGTAAAATACGATTTACGCCTCTCGAGCTAACGAGCTAGTTCTAACGATGACCATACTTAGGCTATGTATCCACGTTGCTGAACCAGACGTTATTTCCCAACGATTGTTTTAGCTATACAAACCCAAGTTGTTTCTTTATTCCATTCAATCGATTTAATATCTATTCGAAATAAGGTATCATTATCTATCTAACAAACTAATTACTCTAGAGCTACAAAAATTACAGTGAGCAGATAATAATATTAGGAATTTACTGTAAAATTTTTAGAGTCAATACTATCACCATTTTCTCACAGAAATTCCTACAAGTTTAGGTCTTATTAAAACTAAGCAATTTAAATTAATTATGGCATCCCCAAAAAAATAATACAAAACATGTGAACAAAATATACTAACAGGTAGACCATGATTTTAGGAATCTAACAAAATTAGTTTTATAATTTTTGGACACTTACACAAATTTATATTGATTTTTACAAGTTTGCCTCAGAATAAATTAAAAAATGCTTTAGAAAATGAAAAGGGCCGGCGGCAACCAGATTGACCCAGCAGCCCAACGCAGCCCACGCGGCGCAGCCGCTCACCAGCAGGCCGGCCCAACCGGCCCGCTGTGCGAGCACACCGGCATGTTTTGCAAACGGGTCCCTGCGTTTTGGGATAATCAGCGTCGCCATGAAACACTATTGCAGCAGACTCAAACTTTGCATCAAGCACCCTGGATTAAATCGCCTTCTCAACTAGGGGGTCCCTAGCGCCACCGCGCATGACGGCATGACCTCGGCCGGGACTGCACACCTACATCGGTCAGCAGAGCGAGGCACCGGCTAACCGAGCAAGCCGACGAGCACCGCGGGGCCAAACCAGACTCCTGGACGGTGGTTAGGAGATAGACAATGACCCTAGCACTCTGTCTGTGCTGTCGGACCACCCACCATGGAGGCACGAGCATTCCAGTGACCTAGGATACTAACGGAGAGGTAGAGGCGGAGGGAAAGCAGCAGTGGCTCACCGCGGTCCACGCTGCGATGGCGGTGGAGGCAGAGGAGGGCCGAGGTGACCTGGCCACGTGCGCGTGAGCACGGTGGCGGCACTCCGAGGCATACACAGTGCGTCACCATGCCATCAACGAGCGCCCTGGCCAAAAGAAGACGAGCACCCACCCTAGGGGGTCAAGACAAGCTCCAAAACGCCGTCCATTGAACCTTTACCGTTGGGTTTGGGGCTTACCCCCGAATCATGCTCTGTTCGGGGCGAGATGATCGGCGGCTCAAAAATTCCTGAACCCGGCCAACCAGAGAGGATTGAGGGGCTCGAGCGGGTCAACTGGCTAGCCTACCTCCAATCCTAGCTAT